TACTTGTAATGAACAAGATGCCAACAGTATGTTTTGATTATAGAAAAGGAAATTTGTCAATTATTTGTTACTATCACAACTGATTTATTATTCTTTACTATCTCATATCCTACCATTGTCCTGTTCTGACATGAGTTTTTATCTATAAAGTTCAGATTGTATGGAAAACTATGTAATGATAGAGAGAGGAAGATTTACTGAGACACAAGAGGGCAGCATTGTTTAGAAAAACTTTGGTAACACAAACCAAATTGTTTGCCATGTTAAATATGTTTTAAAGAAAATTCAGTGCAAAACTGACTCAGGCCTGTTCATGTGTCTAGATGAGTTCACCAGCATTCATAATGAGGCAGTCTGAAGGGAGTATATGGACCAGGGTGAGCTCAGATTGAAGTGATCAGTGACATTGTACAAGGTGAGTCTATTCAGTGTATGGGAAGAGATGCATTTGAAGCATATCAGACAGGTATGGCTTAAATTATAGATCATTATTGCATTGTTCTCTCAGCACAGTACAAAGTACAAGAAAGTATGATCTATGAAACCCATTTTGCTCTTCAACAAATAGGCCTATGTGATTTATAAACTTAACTTCATTAATCCTTTTAGTTTTTTGTTTTTTTTATTCCCATTGGTTTTTAGTGGCTGAAAATGGATTGATGCCACAAAGTTGGTTGTAAATGCTTCACACTTTAATATAGAATAATTTTAAAATGGTGTTTTCAATTCCACAACCTATTTACGTCAGTCTGACCTTATTTATCAATTTTTTCAGAACACGTTTCTCAAAAGAGGTCAAGGATGTACGACAGCTCACACACAGGTTACAAACATTCATGTAAATACAACATTTGATTATTAAGTTGTCAGTTTTCACAAGCATATTGGTCTGGAGCAGCTTTGGTTGAAGCATTTGGAAAATACATGAAATGACTTCGTGGGGGATGTGGCAGAGAAGATTATCTGGTTTACTCAGTCTTGACCTCGGCTTACCAACAAAGTTTTTTATAAGCAGAACCCCAGAACCCAACATTGTGTTAAGTCAAGCATCACCCTGGACCAGTGAAGATACTCTAAAAGGCCCATAAGTTAGTTCTAAGAAACACTGCATTTGGGCATCTGAAGCTGAATAGTCTGATGGAGCTGCTTTCTCAGGACATTTAAAGCACCACTGGTTCTCTCACTAATGAGTATCTGTAATTATGTGAGACAGTCAGACACTGTGCTGCATGACAACTCCCATTTAACCAGGAAAATGAAGTCCCTGCGAGTACGGCCTACCTTGTGTAGGAAATAGGACATTGGAGCAGTGATTCCCAAATATGGGTTCTTCAGTTTGTACAGGGTACATGAAAAGACTGGAAGTAGCTCAGCTCAAGTAAGAAAAAGGGAATTACCTCTGATTTGTAAATATATATATGTATATATATATTTAGTTGGCTGTTACAACACCACCTGTTGCAATGGAGGGTGCCTGAAAAGTTAGCAAGGCAGCAGAGAAGTTGAAACTGTTAGCTAAAAGTAATAAAAGAAATAGTTATAGCTAGCTAAAAGTAAATAAATAAGAATCAGTTTGCTAATAACAGTTAACCAACTAAAAGTAATGGTTGAAACTGTTGGCTAAAATAAATGCTTCAAGCATCCAGCATTAGCTAAGACTGACAGTTCAATTGTATGAAAAAATGATATACACTTATATAATGAACTTAACAATATCAAACATCCAGGTAAAAATCAATTCTAATGAAGACATTTGGAAAACCACAGAGGGTTAAGGGTTAGGGTGCACAGGAAAGGCTGGGAACCACTGAAAACACTTAGTGCCTGCAAACAGCTCCTGTCAAAAGAAAGCAAACTTCCTCAGCTGTTAATTTATACATGAGCTGAGTTCTCCCACAACATAGCAGGTGTTTTTCGTGCTGTATATCTTGTCTGCCTCTCTCCTTTTTCTTCACACTCTCTTCCCTCATTACCCAATCCCCCTCTGTCATCTCTCTCTGCCTCTCATGTTACAGCTCTTCAGCAGATGTTAGCACATGACTTGTGAAAGTAACCCACGTCAATGCTTATTTTGTCCAATTAGCTGCTTTTAATGGAAATTCCCATGGTGCCTGTAGCTAATGAGACAATAATTCCCCTCACTCCTTGGTAATATTAAAGATCTGTCCTAGAGAGATTGTGACAAGGTTTATTTATTAATTGATTTATTTACTTCATAGTTCATGTTTTTTTATTTATTGTGGGACCCACATAAGCAATTTTGCTTATGTTGTTACCATGTGAAAACCTCCATGACTTATGGTGTTATTGTTCATTCTCTTCATACACAGCTGTTTAGTGCAGTTACATCATGGTTATTTCTGGATTTCTTGGAACAGAACAAAAATTGTGTTAATCTTGAATGTAATGAAGTACACTATGAGCAAGTTTATGCACATAAGACACAGACTGCATTATGCAAATTGAAATGCACTTGAAGTCATTATATTGTTATAATGAATCTGCAACAGACCAGCAGTTCAGTCCCTCACCCATGTATTAGCTTTGTTTGCACAAAAGCATAAAAAGTGAATTATTTTGAGGCTGTTAATATTTAATTCTGGGTTATGCCACAAAATTCCACAAAACATGTTTCACTTTCACAAAAAAGCCACATGAAAATACAGAATCCAAACATTTGGCCAGGGGTTGCTGACCTCCATCCACAGATACAGAATAGCTGCTGGGTCTTTATTTAATGACACAACAGACTCCAACTTTAACCCAACAATCCTGTGTAGGAGTCAGGAAAAGACCCCCAGGGTTAAAAATATCAACTGTCCGTATTGTTTCCATGGCAATGCTACCACATACGGTACCTGGGGGAGTTTCACTGAGGGATCCTGATCAACCTACACACTACAGACCACACCGCCATCACATAATTTCTCCTCATACATGGCTTCCACCCAACTATTAGGTCTGTTTGATGTCTCTTGAGGTAATAGGCAGGTGTTTGTCTGAAATGGGGCCCCGTCATTTGGGTGATCGTAGCAGCAAACCTGGAGGGGACAGTTTCTATTCCCTAAAACAACCTGGAATTTACAAGCTTGGGCACTCCCTCCTCTCTGAGCTTTCAAAGCAAGCAATTTCAAAGTTTATGAATGCTGTTGTTGTGGCACGTGATCTATTAGTATTTATAACATGAGATGAGATTACATTAAAAGTGAATGACCGCTACTGAGAAATTGGGCCATTGCAGCAAGAATAATTATTAGGATACACAAAAACAAAGTATTCGAACAAATGCACAACTTAAACAAACCAGTGATACATTTTGATGGTCCTTTCAAAAGCAGTGTGTGTGAACAGTAGTAGAACATGCTGAATTTGACCTAAACTATAACTGAAAATGGGTCTATGAGGAGATACAACAAAGCTACAAGTGAATTTGATCTGTGAATGTTAATCACATTTGCACTGCACTTGGTAAGTATTGATCAGTAATTGGAAAATATGCAAGACTGAAAGATGGTGCAATGATTGATTGGAGCCACTCATCTCCAAAAGAGCTGTTACTGTGCAGTTTCTACCTCTACATGAAAAAAATAACAGTTTTATTCACACCTGAGTAGAAAAGACTGACTAAGAAGAACATGCAGGGACGTTATACTGAAACTACACAGTAACAACTTTGTTGGACATGAGCAACAGATGAAATGTAGCAGTTGTTGTATATTTGCTCCATCTCTACAGTCTCTGGTATGATGTTACAGAGGCTTCAGAAAGTACTCTGAACCCCTTCACTTTTTTGCACACTATTGTGTTGTAGATTTATTTTAAATAGATAAAATTGCCATTTTTGTCCATCTATATGAATGAATTCTGAATACTCTCAGAATCCCTTACCACAAACTGTATAATCTTTAAGTATTTATTCTAATACACTCTGTTTTTAGCCTACTGCTAACGACACATTATGCTAATTTGATTGTAAATAAGAATTAGAGTTAGATTATCCAAATAAAATGCAAATATTAGCTCATTAGCTTCATTTGTTAGAAAGCATCATGCACCATGAGATCACTTAACTTCTGGAAAAGGTTTTCAGAGTAATAGGACCAAGTCCATTCAATATGGAAACTTATTAGCATAATATTTACATCTGCAGATTGGATGAATCATTATAACAGGCATGTATTAATGACTCATTAACGTTTATATGTATTACCAAACAGAGAGGATAAACCTGCCAAATTGATTTTTCACCACCTGGCACCTGATCTATATACAGCATTGTAGGATATTTATTTATTAACCATTTATATGTTACATATAGCCTATTGTGCGTTTGATTGGTGTTCTAAATTACCGTCTTTTTATTAGGCAATTTATTATTGTCGTCAGGCACAAATGACCTAACGACCTCCAACCTCTGAGCCAGTGAGAGAGTGACAGCCAGCTGTTCAGCCAGGGACCTGGAGTTCCTCGAAACCCCTGAGCGGGAGTGGCTGGTGATCCCTCATCACCACGGGCCAAATCTCTCCCTGCCTCCTCTCTCCCTCCATCTCTCCGCCCCCCCCCCTCTCTCTCTCTCTCTCTCTCTCTCTCTCTCTCTCTCCCTCCTTCCTTCCATCTCTTTCTGTGCCAGTAAGGACGCATGCGGCTGGAGTAGAGTCCCGGCGTCTCCTCCTGGAGCTGAAACAGCCATCCCAGCGGAGGCGGTCGGTGTCTTCCTACCCTCCCACCCTTTGAGGCTCCCTGCCGGCACGCGGCGGAGCAGGCAGACGGCTGTCCCCGCGCTACGCCGCCGACCGGCAGAAAACAGCGTGCCAGGTATCATGACGCACCAGAAAATTGGGCACTTGCAGGGACTTTTTTTTTTTAGTCTGCCATGTGACTGTGTCCACGCTGTTTAAGTCGAGTTTGTCCGTCCCCGCCTGGATGGGGAAGCCATATGAGTCTTGTGTGTCACCCAACCCGGTTTGTCATCTCTGTCCTGCGTTTCATGTTGTCAGTATTTGATGATGTCATTATTTCTTTCAGATGGATTTGTGCTCTGCTGCTGCTGCTGCTGCTGCTGCGTCGCATCTCTCAAAGTGAAAATACTCGCGCTGCAAATGTGCGTCCCCTGCTTCACAAACTTGGACCGTTGCCTGTGTCCAGGCTCCTCTCCAGCCCTGTGAACCTCTGTCACTGCTGACTGACGACGTGGTGGACGATGGTGTGACACCGCGAAAGGACCTTGTACCCCAGAACTAATTCTAAACTATCACCACATCAACTTTTCCTCTGCAGACGAAGACTTGTTTGTCCGGTCTATGTGGAAGTGCGCTGGGGATAACTGGAATCAACAAACCTGTTAAATAGCGACATTTAACAATTCACTTGCACTAATTTGTCTGTTCAAAATCCAAGAAAGATCCGACTTGGAGAGAAGCGTAAACGAGCATGATGCTCGGCTTTTTCACCTTTAGTCGTTGCTGACGCATATTGGGGAGTGAGATGGGACTGTAAACTACAGTATGTGGAGTCATTCCTGAGGACAGAGTCGCTGCTCTCCGCGGGTGCATGGAGAAGAGCAGCCCGAGGATGACGGGCGGAACCCGGGAGGCGCCGGTGAACTCCTCTCCGGCGGTAGCGGCCAACGCGGAGGGCGAGGAGATCGAGGTTTTGGAAAGTACCGACGTCCTTCCCGTGGCTCCAGAGGACGTAAGTCTACACACACTACAGAGCGACCTGAGGTGCACATATGACCACTAACAGGACCTTTTATTTTTACACTGAAGTAAAGTGACTCAGTGTAACCTATGTGATCTTATGGGGCGGGATGTCATATGAACATGAGCCTAAAATTCATTTTAGAAGGTTATTTATCTAAATTTCATGGCGTAACTCACAACTGGAGTTTTACATTGACACCAAAGGGTTGCAGGACAATGACAGCAGCTACACAGTACGTCCGCTCTAGGAATATTAGCCAAATGTTTTTCTTTTTTCAAAGGGAGACAACACAAACACCTGCACACACACAGGGCAGTCTCCGTCCATTAGCTGTCTCAGACTTTCAGATACCACTATAAGAGTACCCTCACACATAATGATACACACTTTGGTACCTTATTATCTTTTGCTGCGGCTCATTGACCACAATGATCAGATAGAAACTGCATGTAATTGCAAGACTGCAATTAAGGCAAATACACACAGAGAGGAAAATCCTTCTGGCCAAGATTCATCATTTCCAAACAGGTGCTCCTCTCTGCTTTGGCACCTGTTTCTGAATTTTTTTTCATCCTTTCCGCCTCTTCCTGTCACTCACTCCCTTACTTGCTGTTTTTTTCTCTTTCCTTGTCTTAGCAATGGAAGTCTCTGTTTGACAAGGTATGTACTGAAAGCTGAAACAGCTTGAATCTCTTTCTATTTGCATGTTTCACTCATAGTGGAGCAGTGTTGTCTGTCTTCAAAGGTGCTCATCTGTGTGTGACCTGTGGGTGACCTCTGACTTCATCTCTGTTATCAGCTCAAAGCAACACAAATGTGTTGAACAGATGAAACACTTCAGCGTCCTGCTTAAAGGTCATGAAATGTGATGGGGAAGATTTTGGAAGAAGGCAGATGCGATATTGCACCATAAGCATCAGCCGGAACAGCAGAGTGGGATAAAGATTTTTTTTAGACGTGAAAATATCAATATATAGTGCTGTGGTGCTTTTGGTGGTATGCTGATAAATTTCATTTAATAGCTTGATTTTGACAAATTTTTTGCCATGTATTTATGACCTTGACACTGTTTAAGCTGTAACACTAGCTTTATCACTAATGGAAGTGACTTAAACCTGCACTAGGAAATTTACCAAGTCTTTTGCGTGTCAGAAGAATGTTAGCTTCAGAACCCAGAAATGATTTATCATGATGTTGGTTGGCTTCACAGAGCTCGTTCATGTTTGTCAGACCTGCTGATCTATGCTGCTTAAAGCATCCCAAGAGAAAGAATACATCTATTTTTCAAGTGCTCACTCAGGGCTGTTTGTAGTTGGTATATCACAGATTAATTTTGATTTGTTCCTTTCTCTGGGAAAATATACCTGGCACCAAAATTTCATTTGGCAACATGAGGTAAATCTGCTGGGTCTTAGCTGGTAGAAATGGCACAGGCTTCTATCCTTCAGCCCCAGTTTGTGATTTAGGCTCATTAGACGAATGTATTTTTAGATCAAAATCTTGCGTAGTGCAGCTTTAAATCCTTTGGCTGCTGTGTAACGCTCACGCCAGAACATGTACCCGGGATGCGCCTCTGTCAAACCAAACTCCTGTAGAGGCGAGAGGATCAGAGGAGCGGGATCACACTGGAGGCTGTGGGTGTGTCGTCCACTGACATTGACCCCAATAATGCTATTAGGGTGATACATAATCCTGGATGCATTGATCTGTCAGACCGATCTTGTAAGAAGCACACACACACACACACGCACGCGATACAGATACAGCCATGAAACCCCAGGAGGAGAATAACACAGACCGGCTGATCATGCAAGTAGCAGGTTGGGCTGACAGACGGCAAACGGGCCCCCTACTAACACACACACACACACACACACACACACACACACACACACACACACTTACACACGCACAGCTACCACTCTGTAGGGCTGCTACAGCACCTGCCCACCCTGGGGCCCCCTATTTTCTCCCGGGAGGGAATTGTGTGTGTGTTTTTGTGTTTTTGTGTGTGTGTGTGTGTGTGTGTGTGTGTGTGTGTGTGTGTGTGTGTTTATGTGCAGGGGTTAGCGGGGTTGAATCAGAGGCTCGTGTCAGGCTCACTCTTTCAGAGGGAGACTGAGGTCCCATGGGATTATGGGAAAGGATAGCTGGGGTGTGGTGCGTGTGTGTGTGCGTGTGTGTGTGTGTGTGTGTATTAGTAATGTAGCATATTCTGGCGACAGGCATTAAGTGGGCCTCTCAATCCGCTGTCTTTATGCGTGCGGCGCAGCTTTGAGTTTCCTTGAGTGGACTTCGGTCTGAAAAAAACGTGGATTTGTCCAAACGGTGAGGTCACTGCCCAGTCTGGCGGCAGCAAATGTCCTTTCACTCTTTTATTCTCCTTCCGTCCTTCATCCTCACAATGAGTTGCTCCATTTGTCAAGGGGCTGACCTCGGAGACCCCCAGCTTCTGTGAAGCGACTAAGGAAGAGAAATGATGGGCCACTCAAGACCAGGAAAAGAAGGATTTTTAGGCAGGCTGGCAACCTGTGTCACTGCATGAGGGAGATAAATGCTACTTGAAAACAAAGAGCGTGGCCAGACTTTTTATTTACCTAATGCAAAAATACACATTACAAAGTGCATCTATGCATGTGAATCCAGTGAGGGCAGACATAAAATAACACTTCTGCAACTAATGTCGAGGATGATGCTGTATTGACTGAATGGTTTGTTTTCATGTAGCAATTTCATCAGGAGCATTTTACAAATTTGCCTCTTCTTCACCCATTCACACACGCAGTCACACACTGATGGCTGGCCTGACCATCAGGAGCAATTGGATTTTAGTGTCTTGCTCAAGGACACATTAACGTGTAGACAGGAGGAGGCAGGAATTGAACTGCCAACCCTGACCTCATCCAAGACATTTTCATTGTGGCGCTTTAAGAGAGCTGAGATGGTTTGAGTCCAGGTGGCTGGCCAATGTCACAAATTCCACAAACCGATACAGGCTTTTGCATGCTTCTCATTAAGTTATTGTTAGATTTTCAAACAGCATCTTGATCCCCTCCCCCCAGTCGTACAAATGGAGGCATCATCTCCATTTGTAAAATTAAAACCCTGGTCTCACCCCTTTCCATTATAGCATGCTGAACAGACCATAGATGCTCTTGTCATTGGATGTGGTCAGATTACACTTTGTATGAACTAGTTTCAATTTGACCCTCTAGCGAGTGGCTATAACTTATTAATTTAAACAAATTGTTCCAGTGAGTGTAATACACTGGCAAAACAAGATGTCCACAGATGAGGACAATAAAGCATCTCTTATGTTAATCAATTGTGGCATCCCCGTCTTGTCAAATCCAGAGCACCTTCTATTCTGTCCATCCCATCAGGGATGTTTACACAGCAGAGAGAATACAGGATCATCTTCTCTCATTCATCTTTCTTTCTTTTCTTTTTTTGACTATGGCTTTCCTCCAGCTTCTTTAAAGCAATTTGGGCTGTGTACAAAACCTTCCCCATCATATCATTTCTACAGGCTCCCATGTGAACTTGGTGTGTACAGCTATCAGTTTCTGGGTTTCAGACCATCAGAATCAAAGTGCTGCGTCGCTCTGTTCGTCTTCCCCTTCACTCCTCTCTCCTGTCCCCGGAGAGGATTTTGTTGCTGTATAAGTGCTTTCTTCCTCAGCGTGCAGGAAGTAAGAGAGCAAACCTCAGAATGCTTTGATTCATGTTCCCCATCGCCTGAAACAAACATGTGGAGTGAACACAGACAGAGGCGACGTCAAATGAAGCAGAGAAGACGCAGTTAGGAAGATAGCAGCCTCACTGGCCTCTCTCTCCCTCATAATCAAAGTGTCCCAGCCTCTATTTGTCCTTTAGACACGCACATACACATACACACCAATCTGAAAAGATTATTGTAGCCTGATTACACACAATGTGTGTATGATCCCAAAGATGAACCAGACTCTGTTTTGATGTCTCCATGCTGTGCTGACTGATATGCACATTTTTTGGGGGGGATTTCTGGGGATTTGAGGATGGACCACACTTTATGTCCTGGATTTATCTGATAAAGCGTATTAAGCATGTTTACATCACACCCCGAAATGAACCAAACACATTTGTTTTGTACTCGCCGGCAAGGCACATCAGATGGATTTCTTCATACGACTGTGGCTGGAGGAGCTTCGTCATTTTGCTTCTCATTCTCACAGGTAAAAAGTGAAATCTCTGTGCCTTGGTCCAGAGAGTGATTATGTACAAGGTGGATTATGAAGGGCTACACCTACAGCACATACACATAAAGCCGTTAGCCAAGACAAATGGGAATGTCCCAGTGCTTGTAAAGCCTGACAATGGAAGTCCCCACATGCGCAGAATGGAAATCTGGCTCAACCCAAAGTAGATGAAGCACTTGTAGAGACAGGATGTATACAAACCATAGACTGGGGTGCAAACATTTTCCTGTCCTATAGAAATATGTATTTTCTTGTACTCTTCACTGCAGCCGTGCAACATGAATATTTGTGTCAAGGAAGCTGCTGGGCTGACCTCAGGCACATTTGCACAGAGCCAAGGATATGAATGTTTGTGTAAGTCTATTGTTGTGATAGAGGACTAAGAGAAAGCTGTCAGTAACAGTAACATTTCTTTGATTCTGAACTACGTGTGTGTAATCCATACGTGTGTCCACAGTTGCCTTTGTGTTGACAGCCTGCTCCCAGTGGCATGTTGAAATGCCCCACGCACGCACCCACAGGAGCTTAGTGATTAAACACTTTCACATGGCTGCATACTTTCCATGAAAGTTTGTCCCCCTTAATTTCTTGCTGAATGTGAGCTGTGAGCCCCAAACTCCTCAGTGGAACTGCAAAAATGAAATTAATTTTTTTTTTTAGGAATGTTACCTAAAGTAATGACAGTAAAGTCTGGTGTTGAAATAGCCCAGCTAACGTCATTAATTAAAACAAGCAGAAATTCAATGGTGGGGAAGCCACCTGTTCCCGGTGGGACTCATGTTTCCCAGAGCTCCTGTCGTGCATTTCAATGAGCTTGTTAGTTAGACATTCAGTGGCCATGGCTGAGAGAAAAGGAAGGTCATTATTTAAAGTCATTTTGTCTGGCAGTACCGTCTCGCCTCACCATCGCGTGCACAACACAGCTGGCATCGCCTCAGTGTCGCTCTTTTTTTCTTTTTTTTTTGAAGTGCACTTCAAGTGAATGGTTCACCACCCAGGTAACTGGTACTTAATGGATAAGCCAACTGGGAACTCTCAGCTGCGTTTACTGGTGCATGCAGGGATAGCATGTCTCGCCACACCCTGCCAGTTTTACCTACATTAAAAGCAAAAGAAGGCTCAGACAATGAGATTATAACAGCGGCCACTGCAATTACTGACGGCAACAGGAGTAGAGACGATGTGCAGCTGTCAAATCTGCCTCTTTGAGGATGCCTTTTTTTAAAAGGGTTTCAGGCGCACCAGTTCAAACACTCAGGTGAGTAAAAGATTGAAAGGAATTTCAAGAAATCTGAGAAGAGGTCAACTAGTAGAAAATTATGTTTTACTTACGGTACAGAACTAATGATGATCTTGTGACCAAAATATTTAATGTTCAAGCTTTTTCTTTGTGACACATTTTGGTCATTTTAGTAAGATACT